CCTGCCGCGAAGAGCCAGCTTCCCTGGAGAGTTCCGGAAAGGCCTGTGCCTCCGGACTCTTCCCAAACGCGTGTGGAACGATGCACACAGCAGCTTTCAGACTCTCCCTAATGGGCTTACGAACGGCTGAGCACCGTGGAGCGAGTGAGAAAGCCGTGTCGTCCCCCCAACTCCGAGAGAACATGAGCTCCCGTGGACTCAGGCCAGGCCATCAGAGTGGGGCTCAGGACGCAGTCAGGACCCAGGGCTCCCCGCGAAGGCCCGCGCAGGCTGTTCTTGGGCTCGCTCCTCCCCCTGTGCGGGGAGCGCCTGGCCTCCCTGCACCTCATCTGGATCCTAGACTCTTACCCAGCTGCTCAAGAGCAATTGTTCTCTTTGGTGCTGCTGGCTGAGAAATTCAAAGCCAGATTTGGACCCATCTCCGGCCCTCATAGGTGACTCTGGCCCTCTCCTACTTTCTCACCTTTATTTTCCTTTTGCCCCAGTTCCTTGTATCTACTTAATCCTCTGGTATTGCGTGTGTTTTGGATGCCAACTGCAATCCTCTCTAGAGTGAAGCAGCACAAACACGTGAAATGCTCGTAATCTCTAGTAATCACTCGGTGAATCACTGTCCACGGCGTGAGGGGGTGCAGCCCTGCGTGAGGGGCGCCCAGGCCAAAAGAAGGGCTGGCCTGCAGGAGGCACGGACACGCTCCCGGGAGCAGAGCTGAGCCACACCGCAGGTAGCTGCTCTGCGTCCGCCGAAGGGCCAAAGGCATCACCAAGACAGCGGATCCATCAGGACAGCCCAACACCTGGCCACAGGGGGCATCAGCCACCTGAGACAAAGCACACCACTGCCCACTTTCGTTCTGGGACTTCAGCTCGGTTCCCATTCATGTGAGGGAATCAGAGGGCAAAGAGCGTTTCTATTCTCTGTCTTCCTTGTTCCTTTTTCTTTTCTTTTTCTAAGAATGGGAATGCTGACATCTGGCCTTCCACCCAGCAATCCAAGGCGCAAACAACACAGGACATGCTCATGCTGCAGCAGGGCAAGCACGGCTCCGGCTCTGGGGGCTCATGGACTGGGCGCTCCTTCCTTCCCTCACCAGCCTCCATCCACAGAGGCCAACCCAGGAGAGAGAGGAGGGGAGTGGGAGGTCCGGCCCTGACTCTGGAGCATGCACGTCAGAGAACAGTGGCAATCTTCTATTCAGGCCTCCGCCTGGACTCACAGGGACGATTCTCCTGATCGCCCCATGCTGCCTTTCATGTGGGTTTCCACCGTCCCGAGAACTTCTGCTATTTCTCCAGAGCCTGCTGAAATGTCATGACCAGCCCCGCAGAGTGGGGCGGGGGGGGGGGGGGGCGGCCAGAGCCGGGAGTGGGCGGTGGGGGGTGGGGTGGGTAACGGGCAGGTGGCTCATACCCCGCTCCACCCGAGCCAGCTGCCCTGTGTGGTCTCTGGAAAACGCCAACCTCTCAGCCCGAAAGGCCTTCCCTGGGCCCCACAGCTTCCCCTGCACACAGCAGTCCTGAGCACCAAATACCTGCCAAAATCATGTAGGCAGCCAACGGAGGCAAGCCCAGGGCCCAGCCTTGGGTGGGGAGGGCAGCCAGGTCACCAGGGATTACAAGAATGTGAAGGAACGGTGAACACCAAGTGAGGCCAAAGAGGTGAAGGCCTCTCCAGCCCAGAATTCTCCCCCAGGCCCTAGAATTCTCAGACCTTCTCCATGCACCTGCATGTCCAGTAGACACTCTGACATGTCCAGAACATCACCCCACCTCTGCTCAAACCTGCTCCACTCACAGCCACCCATCTCCCAGTGGCTCAGCTAGCAGTCCTCAACTCTTCCCCCACCGCCACCCCCCCCAGTCCTCCAGCAAGCCTGCTGGCTCTCCTTTAAGACCTCTCCAGACCTCCACAGCCCCACCAGCGCCCACCTGGATAAGGAGAGTAAGGTTTCCCCACCCAGTACACAGCCGGAGGAGAAAGCAGTGAGAGAAAGTAGTTAGAAACCTTGAGAGCAATCTGATACAAACATCCAAACAGATACAAAAGTATCAGTCTGAGCGCATCAGGAATTGAAGAGCTGCTCCCTGCCAGAGGCAGTTTGAGAAGCCGCCCTCCACCTTCGCCAGGCCCGCCCTTTGCCATACCCCTGCCCTTGACGTCACCTGCCACTCTGCCTCACCCAGCTCTAGCCACCCAGGGGGCCTTCCTGGTCTGCAAGCACCCCTGAACACACTCCACCTCAGGCCCTTTGCATGGCTGCTCCCATCCTCTGCCTAGAATGCTCTTCCAAACCTTCACACAGCGCACTTCTCATCCCCCTTCGACCTTTGCTCCAACATCACGTTCTCAAAGAGGCCTATCCTGACACCCTCCTTAACACTGCAGACCACCCTCCTTACTCCTCATGCTCGACTGGGTTGTTTGGTTTTTGTCTGCTGTTTCCCAGAGCACTCGTCCTGTAACATGCTGGATCATGTCTTAGGTTTATTGTCTCTCTTCTCCGGAGTAGGGCAGACGGCTCTGTCCTTTGTGCTTAGGCACACAACAGGAACTCAATACACATTTGCTGAGTGAACGAGGGAACGCGAGGGAACGCGGGAGCCAGAGTGCAGCCAGGGCGGGCTTCACGGAGAGCTTGGGAGCGGCCCTCCAGGCAGACCTCAGCACACTTAAGCTGACGGAGGCCAGCCAAGGACCATCAGGGGCGTTGTCAGCCATGTCAAAGGCTCTGAACTGGATCCTGGGATCCTGGGAGAACCCTGGAATCCAGAGGAGCTCTCCAACACCCAGGCTCAGCGTATCACCCGTCAAGGTGGAAGGCGGACACGAATGGGGGAGGCTAACAGCAAAGAAACCAATCAGAAAGCGGACACTGAACTGAGGTCACAGAACTAGAGATGAAGGCACAGAATTCGAGAGGTTTCCAACGTCAGATCTACAGATGTATGGGGGAGGTAAGGGCGGGGGAGGAGGCACAGGGAGGATCAGACGGGTAACGGTACATGACAGGAAGGTCCCCTCAAACATCGTCATGATTTCCCTGGGTCAGAACAGCAGCTAAGGCGTGAGGAGCCTCCCCGCAGCGCCTGCTCTCCCAGGAAGGGGTGTTCTCCACAGTCTGCCTCCCCCCGCCCCCCAGCCGAGTCTTCACCTGTGTCCCCCAGGCCTCCCTGCAGGGTCTGGGTTCCTAAGGGTGCGTCTCCGATACGTCTCTCCGGCATCTCGGCCTGCATCTCACGAGACCACTTCCTGAACGGCCAGTGTCCATCTGACTCCCCCACTGCCGCATTCTGAGCCATCACGTTCGAAGGAAATCCGCTGATGTGCGTACATTTGGCACTTAACTTAAACTGAACACTTGGTTATAAGTGCTAAAGAAGAACAGAAAGCCGTCACGGGCCAGGCCCTGCCCTCCCCCCAACTGCCTCCAGGATGGGCAGGGTGTGAGATATGGAGACAGATGCACACGCTAAACAAAGGAATGAAAAACGTTGACACCATGTAACACTCTGCCCCAAACTCCTCTGGGACATGAAAAATTGTCAAAAAAGACCTACTCGTTTTGATCCTTCATTTCTACCAAAGCCGAAGGAGAAGAGACAGCCACGAGAGCTGTGAGCTGTGTACGTGGAGCCACCTGCCAGACGTGTGTGTGCAGGGGAGGCACCCAGGTGGAAAAGAACCAGACAGGACGGAGAATGGCCTGGGGGGCACAGGGCATGGTCCTTCCTGGCCACAGCAGGAGGGAGGGGGCAGGCAGCACGGCTGGCACAGGCCGTGGGCCTGAGGTTAATATGCAGAGGGCCCAGGAAAGCCAATCTGCACGCCAGCGAACCCAAGACTCAAAACAGAACTTCCCAGTTACTGAATGGACCCCGGAGTCCTGGGGAACACTGGGAACCTGCCGAGAACAGCCCCCAAAGATCTGGTGGAAGAAATGGTGTGTAGCTCAAGGGCCTCTGGATGATCGTTCAAAACACACTTGTGGTCGTTTGCATTCTCTGCAGTGCAAAGCTGGTCCTCCTTACAAAATCCCGTATAAAACGGGGAGGAGAACACAGGAGCATGAAGGAAAATATCCCAGAGCGAACTACAGTGATCACACACATACCCAAGTCAAACAAGCTGTAATATTAATGAGGCATGAATCAAAGGGAACGGTTTCCAGGGCCGAATAAAGGCCGGCCACCTTATCGGGGAAGTCACACAAAGGCTCCTCGTTGGTGCCCCTTCTCGTAAGAGCAGAAGAGAACAGCCGGCTTTCTTCTCTGTAGCAGGGCCCCACTCGGGGGTTTGACTAGCCTGAGAACATTTTCCGGGAGGCAACAGGAAAAAATCGGTTTTCAGTTTAACCTGCAACAGTTGTAGACTCTGACCAGGATACATTATTAATTAGGCAAGAGAGAAGCCCCACTTTTAGCTACCCATTGAATTAGGTTATCTTTAAACACTGTGACCTAGAATTGACAGTACAGCTAACTCTCTGTTTAGCACAGTAATGGGGATTTCTGGAAGCACAGAAGTTAATTGAGAAGCAAGAACAATCCCATGTTGTCCTCATCAAGGCATGGATCACTGCATCAAGGACGATGGCTTCCAGCGACTGTCCACCGAGGCCCCCGGCTTTACCCGGCGTTGTGAGATTTAAACCGCACCTTTCTGGCTCAACAAGCCAAGTGGTGTCCGGCCCCCACCACTCCTGGGTCTGGCCGACTGCAGAGCGCCCTCCAATTTTTCAGGGTGTGGGGATACAGGGAAAGCATGGGCAGTCACCCCATGTGTTACCCAGATGGCAGCAGAACTTCTAGCAAGGGGCACAGGATGGTTAGAGGGGAGCGCCTAGGGAGAGAGCAAGACAGGGGCCCTGGGTCCGCGGGAGGCTGGACCGAGAGGCCCAGGAGGAGACAGGGAGAGAGTTGGCTGTACTGGACCCAACAAGCACACCCCCAGCAAGCTGCCCCGCATTTCTAGGAAGGAGAAAAGCAAACCGCCGTCCCACCTCGGGCTGCGCGGTCACAAGTGAGGCAGGGCTGGGACCAGTCGCCATTTGGGCGGGAGGCCAGCCCCAGGTGCGGCAGGAAGGGGTGGCGCTGGCTCAGCGGCTGCAGCTCCTCGCTCTGACCCAGCAGGGCCCCTGCGCGGTGCTGGGGACACAGCGAGGCCTCGGGCGCTGTTGGGCAGGGACACACACACACATACACACAGAGAGAGACACGCCATTAGAGGGACTGGGAGCGGCAGAGTGCGGGCCGGGGCCGAAGCCCGACGCACGCGGAGGGGCCAACAGCCTGCTGACCACGTTCTGACCCTGCACATGCAGCTCAAGCTCAAGGGCCGAGGGAACCGGAAGCTGTGCGAGCTAGGACCGTGGCAGCAGCCGTCAGCCCAGCAGAAGGCCGCCAGGACCTGGGACCGGGGCCCCATCCAGACCCCCAGGCTCGGGCACCCGGATGGTCCCACGAGCTCTCGATGAATGGGACGCTGTTTCAGCTCTGGCTTTGTATCCTCTGGCTTCTTGACAAAAATGACCGCAGGAGGTGTGTGGAGAGCGGAGCAGGGGCCCATAGCTGGGCAGCACAGACCCAGCCACTTCCACAGAGGCAGCCTGAGACCAACTGCACCCACAGCGGCCCTTCTTGGGGGATGGAGAAACAACCGCACTCCTTCCAGGGCAATCTTCATTTTGGGGGGCGGGGGCAACCTGGCCCAGGCGGAGCTGCAGGTCACAGTCCATTCCGAATGTTTTCATAAAGGTCACAACATTCGCCTCACCAGAGCAGTTCAGACGAAGAGGGGAACAACAGTAACCAGAAACGGGACGAGAAAAATGCTAACCTCTCCCAGCCTTTGGTAAGAATTTGGAATTCCTAGAGGCAGGAAGTCTGACTTGGGAACACAAATCTCCCAGCTGACACATTTCTCAAAATGCTGCTGGGGGCGGTACGGGGTCTAACTGAAGCCTGCGCGCAGGAAACGTTAGCAGGCGGCCTGGTAACAGAGCCACTGACTAAACGAGGACCAACAGGAGTTTGTCAGGCAACAAACAACTTCCTTAGAAAAGAAAAACATGTGCTGTTATGCTGTCACGGTGTTACAGATTCCAAAAAGAAAGGGGGTGTGGGGGGCCTGCACTTCTGTTTCTTTCAGCCAGAAGATATAATGTGTGCGTCCCCCACCCCCCCAGGCGACCAGGGCCACCAGTCTTGACACCACACTGGGACAGCAGAGGGGCGCCTGTTCCCCGGACCACTTTTAGTGAATGCCCAGGACGCCCACACGGCTCTCCGAGACCAGCTTCTGTCAGGGCCTGAACTCCACCTCTCTTCCCTGAAATCTCATCCGAATGAGGGGCAAGAACCCCGCAGGAATCCCGCATGCAAAAAATGAGAAAACCGAGAGGCCCCACCCAGCGCAGACCCAGCCATGCAAGCAGCTCCCCAAGAGCTCTCATCCCCATGCTGAAAGAGGAGGCCTCGCTCACACCAACACCTGCAGGGGTTTCGGCCTTCTCCTCTTTCACTGAGATAGAGACCTCCCATCTCCCTCCCCCGTGATGCTGAAAGAGAGTGACACCCTGAGCCGGTGGGGAGACCCGCAGCCCAGTCATCAGAACAACATTTAACAGGGAATTAAAGACATGAGGTTATCAAGAAGGAGCGTTCATTTCCTCCTACCTACTAAACGCAGTCAACTCCCCACTGTTTTTCGCGGCAGGCCAATCGCTTGGCTCCAGCCCTGCCCAGGGGTAGTGAATAGGACCCCAGAGCAGCAGAAGGTCTTGACACCCCTGAGCCAGAGCAGCCAAGGGACCAAAATCCTACCCCCCCCATTAACCGTAAATGGGTGCAGACCACTGACACTGTTGTCCGGGCTGCCCAAAGCGGAGAATGGAGGGCAGATGCGAGCTCTCGCTTAGCCCAAGGGCACGTGCCACCCCACCCGCCACCCAGTGCTGCCGTGTCTGTACCCAGCACCCTCCGGCAAGGGGGAGGGGGCGCTTCCACTACTCACAGCCGTGGTAGGAAGCCGGCGACCCCCCGGCCTTGCCATACTCCTGCTCCGAGTAGCTGGTGGAGAGGTTGGGCTGGCTGGAGCCGCGGCCGAAGGTGATCTGGTTGCTGCCCATGCCCGTGGCGACCTGGGCCATGCGCTCTTTGGTTTTGAGAGCCTGGGCCCTCTCAGCCTTCAGCCGCTCCTCGTCCTTGAGGAGGGCCACCAGCTGCTTGGACTTCTCGCGCACGTTGATGCCCTGGTCCTTGCCGTCGCGGTCGATGTACTGGAAGTCCTTCAGCGTCTGGACGGCGAAGAGGTTCTCGCGGCACTGCTGGGCCACGCGCTCGGAGCCCGTCTTGATAAGGTAGTCCAGCAGCGTGAGCGCCTTATACACGTGCCGCCAGTTCTTGCCGTGGTCGTTGAGGCGTTTCCACACCATGCTCATGATCTCCGAGAAGGCCGCCACGTTGTAGGTCAGGTCGGCGATCTCGGTCATCAGGGAGCTGGACGGGCCCCACGGGTCATTGGAGGTGGCTTCCCGCACTTTTATTTCAGCTTCCGAGTAATTGTTCACAATGTTTTTCATTTGCCGTCTGATAGACGAAGTCGCCATCTTCACGGTCTTTGTGGCAACTGTAAAGCCCTTCAGAGAGAGAGACGTTCCTGTGCTGGGCAAGCTCGTGCCCTGCGAAGGTTCAGTGTCCGTAACAGGCGTGGAGCAAGGTCCCTGCCGGTCATTTCCTCCGCTGGAGCCTCAGGTCCGAGAAGCCAGAAGCCATGACCTGGAGAGAGAAAGAAACACACTCCCTGTACCATGAGGTCCTCCGAGACAGCAGGAGGCTCCAGCTCAGCCCCTTCTGTAAAAGGGCAGGTAACCGAGGTCTGGCGGGGGGTCAGGGGGGGCAGGGATGAGTGGACGTGCTTCAGCCTCCCTAGAAGGAAAGAGATCCATCTTCTTTTCAAAATTACAAGATCAATATTACAAGTTAATAGTGAATAAAATCTAAACTCCAGGGCAAGCCTTCGGCAGGCAAGAAGTAAACATTGTACTGTTGCTCTGATTTTCAAAACACTTCTACTGGCAGGGCTCTTCTGTGGGTTGTAGTTTCACGAGTGGCAAAAGCCAGCGACAGAAGAATCCAACACTGGGGGCAGACGGTCCTGACAAATTTTAAATTCTGTGGGAGCAAGAAAGCCTTTCATTTCAGGTATATCTTACCCAAAAAATGCCTATCTATGTCCCCCCCTTAAAGTAATCTCTACACCCGGGGCGCCTGGGTGGCTCTGTTGGTTAAGCGACTGCCTTCGGCTCAGGTCATGATCCTGGAGTCCCTGGATCGAGTCCCGCATCGGGCTCCCTGCTCGGCGGGGAGCCTGCTTCTGCCTCTGACCCTCCCCCCTCTCATGTGCTCTCTCTCTCTCTCATTCTCTCTGTCTCAAATAAATAAATAAAATCTTAAAAAAAAAAAAAGTAATCTCTACACCCAACGTGGGGTTCCAACTCATGACCCTGAGATCAAGAGTCACATATTCTTCAGACTGAGCCAGCCGGGCGCCCCTAAAATGCCTAACTATGCCTTTAAAATCAATTGACATCTGGCTTTGGTCCACTGTGCTTCTACTTGCCCAGGACGTTTTCTGTGAGCGCTTTTCTCCTGACTTTTTATAGGTTTCCAACTACTCTTGCAGAGCACAGCCAAGGCCCTCCACTGGGCTTTCAAACTTTCCAGCACCCGGCCTGAGCTAATACAACTTAGAAATAATCTGGTCTAGCCCACTCCCATCATTTCACACAGGGGAAAAATTGAGGCCCAGGGTTACCCACTAACGGGTCCACCCAGCCCTCCACCACAAACCCACATCCCCTCTCTCCAGAGAAGACACATTTACTGAGCTAGAGTGAGGTCCACATCTCTGACAATCGGCTTTGGTCCACGGGTTTGGTCTTGTTCACCAATGACCACCCAGCCCCCAAGACCGTGCCTGACGTGGATACAAATGCTGTTGAATAAATTTACGAAAACAGATTAAAAACAGCGTCCCCGGCCTCAGGAAGGCCACAGACTGGGAGGGGACAGAGGGGAGCTCAGGGGATCTGAGGACGCAAAGCCCGAACAACCAACTCCGCTGGCTGTTGGCAGCTGCAAAGGCAGGCACGGGAAGGCGTTTCTGCCAGAAATCACTCCCAGTATGTCTTCCAAGCTGAGAAGACCTGAGGGGTGGGAGGAAGTGCTAATGTAGATTATTCCTCGTCTATAAAATGAGGAAACGGAGGTCCAGAAGACTCAGGGATCGCCCAAGACAGAGTCTGGACACAAAGCAGGCGTCCTCCCCTTGCCCATCCCCCACTCCCACCTGCTGGGCTCATTCTGGGCTATTCTGGCTGCGGCTGTGCGGAAGCCAAGGCAGCCTTGGGGCCTGGCTCTACCTCACTTAACGCTCATGAAAACCCTCCAGGGAAGGTAGAGATGAGGAGCCCGAGGACCTCAAGTCACGAGGTCAAGCCGACTGAGGTCACCTCCTCCAAAGCAGCCCTGTGGAGGGTGTGGGCGGGTGGCGCCTCCTCCCTCCTCCTGCACTGGCCCTCACGCTCCACCAAGCTGCTGTGCTGCTTCTGCCTCAGAAACAATGGATGGCACCCTCCTTCCTCATCTGAAGCCTCGGACAGGCAACGGGAACACCAAAAAATAAGTAAACCTAAGTGGTTGGGGCTGGTGGGGCGGGGGCGGGGAAGAGCCACAGGAAACGCAATGATCACTTATCACATACGACCATATAAATAAGAGCCCATAAAATTTCGTCCTGGTAAACAAACTGAGTGTTGTTGGAGTGGGGGGTGGGGTGGGAGGGATGGGGGGACTGGGTGATAGACACTGGGGAGGGTATGTGCTCTGGTAAGCGCTGTGAATTGTGCAAGACTGTTGAATCTCAGATCTGTACCTCTGAAACAAATAATGCAATCTATGTGAAGAAACAAAAAAAAAGAAGAAGAAGAAGGTAGCGGGAGGGGAAGAATGAAGCGGGGGAAATCGGAGGGGTAGACGAACCATGAGAGACGATGGACTCTGAAAAACAAACAGGGTTCTAGAGGGGAGGAGGGTGGGAGGATGGGTTAGCCTGGTGGTGGGTATTGAGGAGGGCACATTCTGCATGGAGCACTGGGTGTTGTGCACAAACAATGAATCATGGAACACTTCATCTAAAACTAATGTTGTAATGTATGGGGATTAACATAAGAATAAAAAAAAAAAAGTAAAAAAAAAAAAAATTTCGTCCTGGTGACAATCCATACATCCGCTATGGCCAACAAGGCCTTCACTCCAGCCTCAAATATGCCAAGAATTCTGTCTCCATCTGAAGCCACAGAACGGGGCTTCGGCAGAAGGCAGGCATGTTCTGCCTCTCCACGGATCTGGCCAGCTCTCATAAATCCTCTAAAGCCTGTCAAAGGACCAGGGATAAAAATTTTCACGGTGACCTGCACATTTGATTTAGTTCGGTTTTTCATTCACAGCAACATTCACTGCTGGCAGAGATGGGGTGGGCCTCGAAAAGCAAAAAAGAACACTTTGATTTTTTAATGAGCATCGCCCAGCTTAAAGTGCAAATGCTCATCAAATTCAGGTGTACTTAATGCGCAGGGGGCCCTCCGATGTGCCAGAGACCACCAGGCACTTCCATTTGTCACTCCATCTGGTGCACGGCAGCTACGACCGTCCCACCCTCTGAGAAGCAGGAGGAGCTGGGGTCCACCGCTGAAGAGGTCCTCGGCCACCCTCCTCCAGGTCAGGAAGCAGCTCTGACTAAGCATGATAGCAAATGGTCCTCAAGGTAAAAAGGCCTCAAAGGGTGAGAAATATAATGAAAAAAACAAAAACAAAAAACCAGAACAATTTCCTGAGGGAGAAACGATGCTCCAGGCTCTGCTGCCCTTCTTCTAGTCCAGCCACCTTGGAACCCAGTGTCCTCCTCGGGAGAGGTCAGGGAGAGGCCATGAGGCCCAGCCGGGGCATCCACCAAGACTCCTAGGCCTTTGGTGGCAAAGAAAAGGCACCAATTCGTCTGATCAAGCGCCGGAGTGCCCTCTGCCCTGCCAGACAGAGGCTGGAAAAACTCCAAACAACTGAGAAACCGGGGCTGGGGACCTAGGCAGGGGTTTTCTCTAACAGGCTCAATTTGCAAAGACATCTGTCAGCAGTCCCTTTGAAATATTTAGGCCTTAAGAAGAAGGAAAAAGGTAACCAAGCGTTCCTTACAGTCAGAAAAATATATAAAGCCTATATAATTTGAATGGCTACCAGTCATTTTCTTAAAGCTATAGACGAGAGCGGCTTTCAGAATGGGCCCACGGGGAGAATGGGGAGATCTCGGGAGAAGAAATTCCCAATAGGAGAAAGGACACCAAAGGCACCTCCACGAGAACCATTTGCAAGGCCAACCGGGTGATGCACCTCATCGGAGACTGTGGAGACGGACACCTCCAATTCCGGCCGTGAGAGAAGCTGGTGACACGTGAGTGGGCAGCAGACCACAGGACCACAGCCCCGGCTGTGTGCGCAAGAGGCTCCCCCAGGCAGCTCCAACTGAAGACAGGGACGTGGGCGGCTCCATCGCCCTTGTCCCTGTGGACCTCAGACCTCGCCCTTCCCATTTTAAGACTTCTCCCCCTCAACCTCAGGATTGGGCTGTCAACACCTAAACATCTCCTCCCCCAGCAAACATCTGTCAGGCACTCCCTCCCAAAAGCCAGGCCTGAACACACTCCATCCTCAAGTATCCACCCTGTGCTATTTCCAGAACCTAAGTTTTGTTTTGGTCTTGCTTTTCTGAATGGTGTGCATACTCCGCCTTCCAGACTTTCCCTCTCAATCTGCCAGTTTTCTTCCCTTTCCGGCTTGGGGAGCCTGAACTAACCAGCACAGGATCCTGTGTTACCTCCTGCACTCTTCACTCAAGCCGGGGAAGTTGTGGTCAGCTCCCAAACACCCAGTCTTTTATTAAGGAGTTTCCACTCAGATATGGGGACAGTGGGAGGAAAGGGGGTAGTGGGGGATGCCAAAACAAGAGGGAAAAATAAACTTTGTTTAAGGTTTAAGACCAAGATAGCAAAAAAGAAAGGGTGGGGCTCATTTTCATAAACTACATACCAACAACTTGGGACAAATGCCATCAGAACATTAGTAACTAGAAATGCCTTCAGAAATGGGAGTTCTAGGGACGCCTGTGGTTCAGTCGGTTAAGCATCCAACTCTGGATTTTAGCTCAGGTCATGATTTCAGGGTCGTGGGATCAAGCCCCACACCAGGCTCTGCACTGGGCGTGGAGTCTGCTTAAAATTCTCTCTCTCCACCACCCCCACCCCGACCTGTGCTTGCTCTAATAAGAAATTTAAAAAATTAAAAAATTAAAAATTGAATTCTATCATCAGGAATTACTTAGAACCATTTCATTATAAGCGATTAAGTCTGTACAATTCTGTTACAACTTTAAATATTTTCTGAATGGAGACAGGTTGGGATTCTATTCAAAGCAAACACATTCTTCTGCACAGAAGCCACAGGACATCCATGATTCCCCTGGAATGGGATGCCCAGGGGCCCCCACCTCACCTTCCCACTCCAGCCCCAGCCCTGAAGAGCATGTTCTGAAACTGTATTAATCATTCATTTTATTAAGAATCAAAGCTTCTGATGCACGTGATAACCACCAGTAACCTCACTGAGTTGATAAAAGCCAAGAAACGGCAAAGAAACTGAACATTTCGGCTGGGCTGGGGAAGTCTCACCATGGGCAATGCACATTTCTGTCAGGCCTTCCAAAAGGCCCTTGGGAGCTCTGGAGACTCCGCATCAAAAGCCACAGTCTCGGGACGCCTGGGTGGCTCAGTTGGTTAAGCAGCTGCCTTCAGCTCAGGTCATGATCCCGGGGTCCTGGGATCAAGTCCCGCATCGGTCTCCCTGCTGAGCAGGGAGCCTGCTTCTCCCTCTGCCTGCCACTCCTCCTGCTTGTGATCTTTCTCTCTCTCTGACAAATAAATAAATAAAATCTTTAAAAAAAAAAAAAAAAGCCACAGTCTCTTCAGTATAGAAGGAAACACTCGTTTTTCTACAGTCAGGCCCCAGTACTAGAAAAGGTTCTTTAAGCCAAAGAAATTTCATTTCTGTCCTGGAAACGGAATCTGCTGTCTCTGCCTTTGCAACATCCATATCCCCTTGTCTCAGAAAGATCCTTGGTCTTCCATGGGGGAGGTGGCCAGGTGCAGGCCCAGTTCAGGCTCCGCCAATCAGAGTACCGCAGGCCCCCAGCTACGGTGGCTAGATCAGGGGCGGGCGGGCGGACAGTCCAGCCTGGGCTGCCAAAAGCCACCAGATGGGCCAGGGTTTTCCTAAGTCTAAAGGTGACGCCAAAGAAAGCAAAGAGCAAAGGGAAGGAGAAGGAGCAAGACAACACGGCTGGAGCCTCTGGGTCCGCTTGCGCCGGAAGCCATTTCTGCACATCTCAGCAGCAGGTGCCAACGTGGTCATCTGTAACCTACAGCACGGTGGGCTGTGCAAGGAGCCTGAGAGCAGCCAAACACCAGATGTACTGCAAGGGTGCATCCCCTGAGCCTCCAAGCAGGCCTCAGGTAGAAGTGCAAGGATACCAACCAGACTCTCCTGGGTCACACCTGGCCTGTCACCTCAGGCTGACCAAGGAGCTGCGTCCTTCCCAGGGAGGCTCGTCACGCCCCAAAATGCAGACAGCATTGGCAACGCAGATGGCCAAGCTCTGGCCATCACCCTTTTTCAGAGTGGCTTATGACGGTGACCACAGAGAGAGAGCTGGATCATCATGTTTGCAAGGGGCAAGCCAGGGAAGAAAATTTCTGGCAAGTCTGAAAACCCAAGCAGAATTCAAAAGACACTGGAGACTGGAAATAGGCTGAACGAAACAGCCAACAGAACAAAACTAAACAAACAAAAACTTCCAAGGCCAGAGTGGAGCCCCTGGAGGCAAGAAGAATTCCATCAAAATGTGCTCCAGGGGTTTGTGGAACTGGGTGGGGAAATTCCTTCCAAATCTAGAGTTCCCAATCATGACAGGAGGAGGAGGCTCTCTCCGGCTTCAGGGCAGTCCAGGTGGGTCCCTGCTCAAAGCCCGTAGGTCCCTCAGCCACTGCACTTCGGTAACACGGAGGCGGGATACTCACCCTGTCCATTGCGGTCTCTACCACATCCCTAAGGAGGTTTTGGCAGTGGCTTTTCAGGGATTGGGGACCCTCATCAGGCATCAAGACCAGCTGTGAGGCCATAGCAACAATCGTCTCTCCCTACTCCCCAAATCCAGGCACAGGTCAACCAATACTGCCTGGGACAATCCAGTCAAGATCAGTAAGTATCACTGAGTGCACTGATGAGAAAATCATCACCCCAGATGACAGCTCACACCATCTGTGCCTGGAGGCCTCCCATGACTTCACATGCACTTCATTTTTCTCTGGGTGACAGGGAGAGCCACGCGAAGGGGTAGGTACTGCCGCCCCTCCTGCCGTGTTGCGCCAGGGTGGCCCACTGTTGGCCACCTTCCAGAAGCTCCTGGGGAGACTGCCCAGAACGCCCGACACACGGCACCTGGGGGGCAGCGCTGAGGGCATGTGACACTCCAAGCTCCTGTAGTGACATCCGAGGATCCTGAAGCGAGCGCCCGGGTGTCACCGTATGACACACATAAACAGCAGTAAGTTTGTGAAACACTTTGCAAGGCTTGATTAGTTGGCTTTCATCCTCCTCTGCGTGCAATCCATGAGTGAGGAAACATCTCCACCTTCCTACTGGGGAAAAGGGTACCACGACCATTACAAGGAGACTCAGTCGGGGTGGATGAGACCACAGCTCACATGACCAAACTGAGCCGGCTTCCCAGAAGACAACGGTCCAGTTAGGACAATATGGACAGTGCCACATTCTTCTCCACAGTAATCATTTCAGACTAAAGAGAAAGGACTATTATGAGTCTGCATCAGCCAAGCTAGCAGTAACCCAGAGCCTGATAACCACCACTCATGCAGAGGGGAGAAGGGAAAAGGAAAAAACAAAACAAAAAAAACACCCTTTACCTTCACCAGAAAAATGGTGAGATTCAGCCAAAAAAAAAAAAAAAAAGGAATGTTCTCTTCACTAACTGAATGGAGAAATCAAATTTTACATCACCATCCAAAAAGTGGACTTAAAAAAAACAAAGCCTGTTGCATTCAAAGGATTTGGAGGGGAAACATTTTAGACTTGACTTCCAGATGATAAAGCAGGTCAAATAAAACTGCCCCTTGCACTTTTCCTCGCTCCCTTCTAGGGGAGGAAGAGCCCCAAGGGGGGGATCAGTTAACCTACCACCAGGAGGAGGTGAAGGACTCCCGCCCCCACACTGGGCAGTGCCAGGCCGCCCATGAGGCAGGAGGGTGTCCCGCAAAGAGCCTCCTGGGCAGCCTCTGCCAGGATCCGACAGTCCCTGGAACAAGTCAGCCTCCTGTGACTTTACATGATCGTGTGTTAATTTTTCCAAAAGCAGAAGTACTCAAAACACACACGAGGAATTTCATCTTTCTTTACCAACGTGCCCCGAGCATGGACCCTCGGAGAAGAGCAGCCTGTGGGTACAGATTACACAGGTGTTGAAATGCGGTCATTTTTAAAGATCATGTGAACCGGGGCGGGGGGTGGGGGGCGGCGCCTGGGTGGCTCAGTAGGTTGAGCATCTGACTCTTGGTTTTGACTCAGGTCATGATCTCGGGGTCGTGGGATTGAGCCCCACATCGGGTTCCACATTCAGTGAAGAGTCTGCTTGTCCCTCTCCCTCCCCTTGCTTGCACACTCGTGCGCGCTACTCTCAAGTAAATAAAATCTTTTAATAAATATAAATATATATATATATATACACATACATACATATACATCACGTGAACCAGGGTCAGGAGACCTGTCCTGGTCATTCTGGCTGCACTCTCCATCTGACACAGCCACTTAGTTTCACTCTCTGATTTAGGGACAGGGTGTGTTGGGCTGTGCCTCTCTTGCAGGGTCAAGGATCGAACACCTTGACAGGTGGACCATGGTGATGCACACACAGGCCATAAAGGAAAAAAGAATTCTTTATTGCTCCCCACCTCTCTTCTAGTCTTCAAAGTAGTTTCACAAATGACCAGTCATGGACAGCATTCTTAAAAAATCATGCCAAAAAGCAAACAATGTGGTGTTGTAGACGCACAGAATCAGAAGACAGGAAACCAGGAACCTAAGTCCAGAGCTGTGACCACTCTGAGGCACCAAGCAAGCCAGTGACCAGGTTCCTTGCTTCTAAAATGATGGGGTAGACCAGTTGCTCTCCCTAAACCCTTCAATTCCCAAGACCCTCTTTGTGACCAATGGCTCAATCCCCTGCCAACTCCATGGTGTCATGGGGAGCCCAAGCTTCTGGCCAGCCCCAGCCAAAGGTCACTGACTGCAGGGCTAGAATTCTGGCCACAAGCCTAGTGGCAGATGTTTCTCTTGGTCTATGGGGGGCTCAATGGTGGGCAAACAGTAGGCCTTCCCTTGGGCCTTTGGAAGTATGAAACGCCACCGTCAGAACCCCTCCCTCCTCCCAGGAAGGCAGCTTGTATGTGACCCCTGGGGTAGAGAGTCCCTATTTCTAACACGCTGTGACTCGGCTACTAGAAATACCCACTAATAACAGACAGCAATGCCACCCAGGGACTGGGAACCGTAGAAAGGGGGCTTCTGACGGCTATCCACACCCAACCCACACCATAGGGGGCAGGCCCAGCTATGGATCACACACTTTGATCAGTACAATTTTCCAGCTTGAGACATTTGAAAAAAAATGCAGAGCTGCATGGGAAAATTTAGAATTCCCATGATTTGGGGCTTAATTTAGCCCTGGCTGGTCACTGTGACAGCAGTAAGTCCTGGGCTGTCGCCATCTCCTCAGGAGCCAGCGAGAGAGCGGAAGCAAAGCGAGGGTGAGCTAGGAGTCCCCTCAGCCAAGACCCCACAGACTTGGTTTCAGGCACAGTGGTGACCTAACACTTCTCTCAAGAGGAGCTCAAGACGCTTGCAAAGAGGAGCCGTACGGGACGGAACGGGTATTTCCACCCTTTTGAGTACAAAAGAAAAGCCAGGAGGAAAACGACCGGTTTGCTCACCTCTGCCCTTCCACGGACAGCTGTCGGGCTGTCGGGAGGTCGTATGGGACTCTCCTGGCCACGGCTGTGAAGGAACGCGGCAGATTTCTGTGGACAGCTGGGGACTTACTTCCGCAGACGTCGGATGTGCGCAGACCCTCAAGGCTGGGCCTGAGGCCCCATCCCCACCCCAAGCAGCCAGGGGGTCAGGCCAGAGTCTCCGAGACCAGAGGACAGCCTCACCTCAGCAAAAGGAGAAAAAGGAGAAGCCAAATTATCCTAAATTTGGGCCCGGGCTTCTCTGGGGGAAGGATGAGACGTTAACTCTTTCCTGCCACCGTGTGCTGGACCCTCTTCTTCAATCACTTTCCTTCTTACTGGGACAATCTGCTCCCTGTCACTTCAGAGAACCCTGTACCACAAACCGGCCCCTGCCGCACACTCTACCCGCCTGCTGCCTCTTCTGCCTGTGTTCTTCCCATGATCGTCCCTGGACGGGCTTTCTCCTTAGAGCCCACTTTCCACATCGCCTGCCCGGAACCACCAGCCTCCCTGTCTTGTCACCAGCTTCAATTCTCAGCAGAGCCCCGCTCTCCACTGGGCATTTTCTTGCTTGTGCCCCTGCTTATCCCCTGTGCCCCCCTGACCCTTGTTGAGAGCAGGGTCCTGCCTATCTTCACCTCGCTCTCCTCTGTGCCTGGGACAGAGCCTGCTGGTACACAGTGAGCGCTGGGCAACTAATAAGAACATTTTAAAAATTATCCCTGATCCTGTCTATTCAGAGACCACCGGAGTTAACACCCCAGGGGCCATTCTCCCAGTTCCCATTTCCCTTTTTGCTCACTATCACGGGCGTTCAAAACAGCTGCTCTCCCCCACTTACTCACTGCCCACCAATAAACTGCCTGAGGACAGGGACTTGCCGTGCCTGGAGCTTCGTGGGTGCTCACCTCACGAGAGCGGAGAGTCGCCTGAGCCCGGACCCCCACAGGGCAGCATGGGAGCTGCAGAGCAGAGACCACTCGATGCCCCCCCCGACAGCCTGGGCTCAGGAGCCAAGCCGGCCAGCCCCGGACAGCATGCGAGGGCTAAAACAGGGATTTCTTATTCCGACCACATGGATCTGCATCCTTCCTTTTCCAGCTGCAAGGCCTGAGGCAGATTGATGAGCTCTCCTTAGCCTCTATGTCCACAACCGTCGGCTGCAGCGAGCAGCTGCCTAGGGAGACACTGGCAAATCATCGGCGTCCAAAATATCTGCTTCCTCTCCCCGGTACCACCAAGGGGAGGACGTTAACCTGGCATGTCCCTGAGGCCAACTCAAAGAGAACTTCCAAAGCAGGAGAGGAAAGCCCGCAGAAGCCTCCAGGGGGAAAACGGGCTGGCTGGCTCTGGTCTGCCAGGGTGGCAGGTCCAGGCACCTCTTTCCTGACCACACAAACACCCCGTTAAACACGGTCACCATTCCAGCTGTTTCCCTCTGCGGCTGGCATTTCCAAGAAAGGTCTCAGATGGGCTCATTCTTTGATACCAGTAATTGCCCTAGGATAGCCTTAGAATAGCAACAGAAGGGCGCCTGGGTGGCTCAGTTGTTAAGCATCTGCTTTCGGCTCAGGTCATGATCCCAGGGTCCTGGGATCAAGCCCCGCATCAGGCTCCTGGCTCGGCAGGGAGCCTGCTTCTCCCTCAGACCCTCTCCTCTCTCATGCTGTTTCTCTCTCGCTTGCTCTCTAATAAATAAATAAAATCTTTAAAAAAAAAAAAGAATAGCAACAGAAAAGAGAAGAGGCTCTAGCAAATACTGAGGCCTGACCATATGCCACGCACGTTCTAAGACCAGACATGTGTCCTCATGAAATCTTCCTAACGGTCCTAAAGGGAGCAATTATCATCACCCTCATTCTACAGAGGGGGAAGCTGAGGCACAGAGAGGCTCAGGAACTGACCCAAGCTACAGTGCTGGCAGGGGTTAGGACCAGGATTTGACCCCAGACCTGTGGCATCTGGTCCCATTCTGGGATTCCTCCTGGCTTCACACCCATCCAGCGCCCAGTCATGACAGCGATGAATTTGTCCCTGCTGAAGCTGCAAGTCTAGCAAGGCATCCCTTGCCTAGATGTGGAAGAAGCCAGAAGATGGTGGAGAAGCAATTCTTTTCCTATCTCCCCCGACCATGTTCAGCTGGAGGTCCTCTCCCTCGCCGGCTCACCGGGCCAAGCAAGCAGAGGCAAAGATGCCAGCGCTGGAAGGGCCTCGGGACTCACCGTGGCCCAGAGCAGTTCAACGCTGTACCAGGATCAGACCCTGGCCTTCCCAGCTCCTACCAGCACGGCCAGCCCGGGATAGGGATTTTAATGCTCTTCAAAGAAAGCTTCCCCTGGAAATGTGTTAAGGTTCTACAGTCTGGCGATACAATGAAATCAGCCAGGAAATACCGCAGAAACTCCAAAACTATTTTTTTTTTAAATGTGCTTTAGGGCGGGCACCTGGGTGGCTCAGTCAGTTGAGTTTGACTCTTGGTCTCAGCTCTGGTCTTGATCTCGGGGTTGTGAGTTCAAGCCCCAAGTTGGGCTCCATGCTGGGCATGGAGCCTACTTAAAAGATAATAAAAAATAAATAAAATAAAATTCAAATTTAAAAATGTATTCTTCAGAACTCACATCCTTAAGAAATGATATCTCTTTGGCTATAATCATGTCTCCTACTAAATGAGTCACATCAACTTGAACAACCTAAGAAGCCTGCATTATTCCTTTGAAATTGCTGTCGCTATCTGAAATACCACTCAGAAAAGACAGGGTCACAATGCTGAAAGGTAAACTTCCTTTTTTGGTACAGAATAAAAATATTATTTCCCTCCTCCCTCCTCTGCTGGAGACATTCCCAGTGTTTTATTTACTCTGCAATGCTGACTGGATATATTAGGAGGAAATGTTCCTTCTAACTCTTAAATGTCAGAGTCTACCCCAGAAAAGGCATGAGCCAGCCCTAATGTCTTCTTGCTGTTCCTTTTGTTTGCTTCAATTTTTATTATGTACTATTGGATGCACATTAAAGAATTAAGTGCAAACCACATGTGAGGCACAAGCCAGGGAGCCCCAGTGACCCCCGCATTCTCCTCAAGGCCTAGAACATGACCTCAATGCCCACCCAGAGGGGTCCTTCCCCTCCCTACTTCCTCTGCCCCAGGCACACAGCTCGGGTTCTGGGTTCCTCCTTGCTTTTTACAAAAGAAGATCATTTTACCACAAGTGTTATAAAACCAAATAATATACAGTCTTCCACAACTTGCTTTTGTCGTTCAATACTGCGTTTCTAAGACTCATCCACATCGCTCCGCATGGTGAGCTGTGGTCTACCCACTTCATGTTCGTATTTAACAATGTACCCACTCACTTTCCCGTCAATGGACATCCAAACTATTTCCAAATTTTTGCCATCATGAATACGTCTGGAGTCTGGCCTGTGCCTGTGTCTCCTGGGACACATGTGCAGAGCTGTTCCAGAGTATGTTCCTGAGAGTAGAACAGCTCAGTTCATTTACAGAGTGTGCAAAAGTTCTCTGCATTTTTTTTTTAAATATTTTATTTATTTGACAGAGAGAGACACAGCGAGAGAGGGAACACAAGCAGGGGGAGTGGGAGAGGGAGAAGCAGGCTTCCCGCCGAGCAGGGAGCCCGATGTGGGGCTCAATCCCAGGACCCCGAGATCATGACCTGAGCCAAAGACAGACGCTTAACGACTGAGCCACCCAGGCGCCCCATGTTCTCTGCATATCTTTTTTTTTTCTTTAAAGATTTTTATTTATTTATTGAGAGAGAGAGAGAACGATAGAGAGAGACCATGAGAGGGAGGAGGGTCAGAGGGAGAAGCAGACTCCCTCTGCTTTTGAGCAGGGAGCCCAATGTGGGACTCGATCCCAGGACTCCAGGATCATGACCTGAGCTGAAGGCAGTCGCTTAACCAACTGAGCCACCCAGGCGCCCCTGTTCTCTGCATATCTTAAAAATATTTGTGCTGCCCTAACTCATAACATCATTTTATCGTCATAGAGCAGACATATTAATGGTTGAGTGGATACCAGGTTCAACAAGTACTCTTCACAGACTCAGTGTGTAAAGAACAATGCCCACAGGCCCGGGGGTGGGGGCGGGGTGTTGTTAGAGAAGCACAAGACATGCCTTCTGGTCTGAGCTGGGGGTAGAGCAAAGGCAGATTACAAACTGGGCGCTCCAACAAGATCAGGGCCAGCTGCGGGATACGTCAGGTGCATCTGAGGCAATGCTGCTGAAGAATGAGAGGCACGAGCAAGTGCATGGGGGGAGAAGGCCGTTTAGGCAGCGCACTGAGACAGCGGGCTGTGTGGGATGCAGAATTGGCTGGCAGGGGGATCTGGACTTGCCAACTATGGTTATTCATTTTCAAGATTTTGCCATATCCCCCCAATAATAATAATAGTAATAATAATAGTGGCTAACACAGAGCACTTACTGTGTGGCAGGCACATCTTAGGAACTGTCTCATTGAATTACCCTTACACGTTTACTATTTTTCTTTAAATGCATTTACTTTTAAACTCAAATACCCACTTTAATATAATTTAAACTCAAATACCCACTGTAATATAATGAAATCAGGGATCACTGCTATGGCATTTTGAGAGGGGGGGCCTTTTTGTTTCGTTTTTGAGAGAGAACTCAGAGCCTAAGAGTCACCATCTTCAAGTATACAGTTCACACTTACAATTGGGTATATTCGCAGTGCTGAACTACCATGACCGCTGATTCCAGAACATGGTCATCGCCCCCGGAAGGAACCCTGTACCTGTCAGCATTCACTACCCATGCCCCCTTCCCCTGGCCTCTAAGACGTTCTGTCTCTAGGAATTTGCCCGTTCCAGATGTTCCGTATGAATGGAAATCATCCAACCTCTGGCCTTTTGTGTCTTATTCTTTCAGCTAACATATTTTAAAGGTTGCATTACATTATCAGTACTTCATTCCTTTTTATGGCTGAATAATTTTCCACCGTATGGATGTATGTTTTATTTATCTACTTCACTGGAGGACGTCTGGGTTGTTTTCCCCCTTTTTTGGCTATTATGAATAGTGTTGCTATGAACATCTGTGTCCAAGTGTTTGCACGGACATATGTGCTCAGCCCTCCCGGGCATACACTGAGGAGTGCACTTGCTGGTTCGCATGGTAACTCCAAGTTGAACTTTCTCAACTGCCATAGTACTACGGCCTTTCTGAGATAACTATTAAAATGAGTAACTTCAAGTGCGTACCACTTAAAATTATTTTAGGAACTACTGCTGGAGCGAAGCTAAGGAAGCTGGCTTTTGTTCTGTCTGGGGGCAGAGGAATGACGCCGTCAGAAGAGTATTTCTGGAACCCTGACCAGGCAGCACAGGGTGAGAGGGCCAGGGTGGGGACAAGGGAGGGTGATACAGACGGAAGACCACTTAGAGCCCCCAAGGGAGGCGATGAGGGGAACTGGGGCCTGAATCTGAGTGCAGCAGGGGAACGAAAGGGCAGGAGACCTCGGACATAAACACAGAGCAGGAGAATCAACCCGATGGCCACATGTCTGTGCAGCGTGCGACAGGTGGGGGTGGGAGTAGCCAGGAGGACAGAGGCACCCTTAACAGAATATAAAGGCAGGAACGGTTTACAGGTTTCAGGAGAAGGAAAGAGGCCGAACCGGCAGTTTTATTTAAAACAACCAAATGTAGCTGGAGGTGCCGGTAAACAGGCATGGGGCGGGGGGGGGGGCGGGGGGGAGGAGGCTGTTCTGTTTTTGAGAGAGAATTCGTAGACCGTAAGATTCACCATCTTCACGTGTACAATTCACACTTACAACTGGGTATATTCACAGTGGCGAGTGACAGCCAGCACCTAGGGCTGGGGAGGGGGTACTGGGGTCCGCATGATCCTCTGGGAGGGGCACCTGAGAGGACCTGGGGAGAATAGGGTGGATCAGGGGCTGGGATGTAACTCAGAAAGAGGCTAGCAGTCAATGGGCGAAGTCCAGTAAGTGCGGGGGGCGGGGGGGGGGGTGAGTGCAGGAGAGGGGAGAGCTTCAGGGAGTGACGCTAATCAACAGGGACAGAGAAGCATCCAGAGGATGTGGCAAGAAGCATGCTTTTGGGTGCCATGAGCAGCAGTGGGTGACTGGGAGAGCCAGGCCATCTCCTAATGACACCGAGGAGTGGCTCAGACACCCTCGCGAGGGAGGCCACACGGAACGTCCCAGACCTGCTGCGTCACGGCCCATACCTCTTTGGCATATGCTACTTCCTCCCCGGTCTCAGGACAAAACTGAACCCATCATCCCCGACCCCCCCTTCTCCCCAGGGATCCTCTGCTGGACGATCTGCCACCTGCTGCCCGCCTGGGCTTCCGGCTTTCCCTCCACTTCTCCCTCCTTCCTCCCACGGCCTCCGGACTGCAGCTCTGGGGGCACAGAGGCCCCGACTGTCTCCACACTGCTGCCCGCCTCACAGGGCCTGGCACGGCGCCTGGCATACATCTGCCACAGGAATGAATGACTCCACAGGGCACCTGC